AACGGTAACAATGCCAGTAGCGTGGAGAATGCAGGAAAGTGCAGTAAATGCAAGCAGTTGGCAGCCATTTCCGCATTGCCACAGTGCCTACGACCAAATTGGTTGCTTAGTACACACACACACATGCATATATATATATACAAACATGTCTGTGTGTGTGCCGTCGCAGAAGCGTCTGCGTGGTTAAACAATCGATTGCGATAACTTTTGATTACAATGGGAATATTGAGTAAAAATCACCGGCATAAAAGCAAATACTCTCAGGACTGTCAGTCTGTTGGCAGGACAAGCGCCACCACCAAATGAGTGTATTTGCTACAACACTGCATACACACAAGGAATTGTTGGTCTACTTTCTGCCCTCCTTGCCAACAAACCGCCTTACCATAGTTTTCCCAAAAGTAAAAGGTGTCTCGAAATTCAAAGCATTTGCAAATTTCAATTTCAGTTGAGTATCTCTCACATACATACACACGCATATGCACAATTATGCAACTTCTTTCTGCCGCATTGTTTGCAAGTCTCAACCGTTGAATAGCAACGATTTGCATGCGACAGATTTACTACCATTTCAAATGCAAAACCAAAGTGTGAAAACGAAGTTCGATTTGGCCAAAAATTTCAGATTTCTCGTTTGGGAATACTTTTCAGCCACAAACACAGACCAGACTCACTGACGCACAGCTACAGCTACTCAGATTCGTGAATGCATACAAAAACTTGTTTAACAAAGGCGCTTTCAGTTACTAGCTTTTAAGATATTTTCTATTGTGGTTGTTGGTGTTGTTGTTGCTGTTTTAGTGACATGTTGATGGCCAGTTTCCGATTTCAATTTGATAGCCATGTTATAGTGGCAGCCATGCGAGCACATGGGCGGTCAAACTGGTCGAGAGTGGTAAGCTGGTAAGCGAGCCCTGTAGGAAAAGCGTAACCTTAGTAAAAAAATTGTTTTTTGACTTTGTAATATATTTGTCGCCTTCTTGGTTACTTTTTTTGGCGACAAAACTTCAACTCGAAAGTCAAAAACTTTCTTTTCCAAGGAAATATAGGTTAGGTTATGTTCGATTTAGTATCCATGGATCGCACTTAGACGCAGTGCTAGACGATCTTATACGACTTGTGACCAATACAAATTTGCTTAGTCATTTAATTTATATTCTCACCAGATCTGCGAGATATCTGAAAGTATGACCTCGCCAGTATTTAAGCCTTATTCTCGAAAACGCGGAACAACCCAGAGTGAGGTGCTGAGATGTTTCTACCTCTTCTTCTTCCACACATCTTCCGCAGCTGGCATCCGGTAAGATTCTCAACCTTACAGCCTGGACGCCAATAAGGCAATGGCCTCTTAGAACCTCTAAAACTGGGGAGAGGCTAGCTCTACTGAAAACAAAGAGCTCACTGCAACTCTCAGAATCGATCTTCAACCGAAAGGATCTTGGTAGAGTGCAAGAACCGATGTCAGCCCAGCGTTGGCCAAGCTCCCGCGAACCCAAATATCTAGTAGTAAAACTCGACTCGTTCTCATTCTACTGATAGCGGTACTGGGGTTACTTACAACTTCGCTGTGGCAAGCCGCCCATACTAGCCTTATTACAAAATGATTCGATGACAACGAGCCTAGGCATTTCTTAATCAGTCTTGAACGCAAGCCGCCCCACTATCAGAGTGGATTGCAGTAAATCCGACAGCAACCTCGGCTTGGAAAACGCAACAATTGTCAGGAAGTATGAAACTAAAGTTGATACAGAGTTCCTGACTTCGCTTGCACCGAAGCGAGAATACTTGTATCTTTCATAATATTATATAAAATATATCAGTTATACGATCTGAACAATTTATTTAGAAATTATGGCATTACATGGTGACGATAGCTTGTGAAATATAAAATTTTTCCACACAAGAACTTCATTTGGTATGAGAGCCATATGTTTTGGTGATCCGATATCGACCGTTCTAAAAAATAAGCTGCTTCTTTGGAGAAAATTATATGTGTAAAATTTCAGATTGATAACTGGGACTAGTTCGCATATATACAGACAGACTGGCAGACGGTCATGGCTAAATCGACTCAGCTTGCCACGCTGATCATTTATAACATATACATATATATTTTATCGGATCTCCAACGTTTCCGTCTGCAAGTTACAAACTTCGTGACCAACTTAGCATACTCTGTTCAGGGTATAAATTTTCCAAAACGAGTGACTTTCAAAAGGCATCGTCTATAAAAAGACACATAGAATTATCATAAACTTTGGTACGCGACCTCACTTATGTGCACCTAAATGTAGGCAACATTTTAGTTTTGTAGCTCGAGGTTATAAGGCTTTAGTTTTATCGATTCACGTTATTATTTCTTACAGGGCATATATATAATTATGTAGTTCTGCTTGCTATGTGATCGTAGACTGCCGGTGAGCTCGTTTTATTGAAACTAATAAAAATGTGCACTCTAATCGAAACAATAAATTGCATATTTTCGATTTCCTTTCAACAATTAAAATTAATTTAATTTTAAAATGAAATTGGAAATTAGGCTGGAAAAGGGCGAATGTTAGAAAATTTACAAGCTAAGGTACGAAACTACAAATAACACTCGCCTATATTCCATTTTTGACAAATTTAATTATGCAGTTGTATGTGTTTTGTATCAAAAGGTATGGCTTGACTGACAATACCAGATACAAGCAGAACCTTGAGCTTCATTTTAGAAGTAAAGAATATTCAAATTTTAAATTTTTAAGTAATTGCCCTAATAAACACTTAATCATTGCTTGCAAAAGATCCATCAACAAGTATCTTTGGGCACTCATATTTTAGAGTAATGGAGACAAGTACTCGTAAAACATCAAATGAACAGACACATACACTTACATAAGAATATTTATATGCGAAGGTTGATAGCACAGGACTATGAAAATATTTTTATATTTTTGGAAGCAGCTTAACGCAGCACCTTTGCTGGATTTTTTCATTTTTTTTTTTTTTAGTTTTTTACGTTTTGACTGCCAAAAGACGCCGAAAAGCGGCGAAGAAAAGCGCAAAACGGAAACTTAGAAAAATACAAGAATTCTTCCAACTATGAAAATTATGTCTACAAAGGAAATACTCATAATGCTTTCAATTGTTGTTGAGACGCTGCTGCAGTCTGTCTGAATACAAAGAATGTGTATATGTGTGTGTGTGTGTGTGAAAATAAATGTGAGTTTATAAGAAAAGGTCAGCACTCAAGTCTAAAGAAGTTTTGGGTGGAACGTCATAACGCTGCGAGGAAAAAACGGAAAATGCTTGCAATGCGAAGAAAACGGATTTAAAAATATGTACAGCGGCAGACAATGAAATAGGGAAACCGCAAAAACATGATTTTTAATCTTTGTAGATATTGGTGAAATGGTGTGCTTACGCAAACAGCAAGCAGCTCTGAGGAATATTTATTTGAAAGCACTTCTTAAGGAAAATAAACGCTGTATCCAAACCAATATTAGATAAGCTTGACCGTAGATTTAAGATGAAGAGAAGATATTATTTTTTGAGAAGCAAACTTGGAAACTAAAAACTCAAGACTTTCGGATAAAAGTTCAAAACACTTAACTTTAAAGATACAGTAAATTTAACTCGCTAATTGTGAGCAGGACTTTTCATTATTTTTATACCCTGAACAGAATATATCGTATTATGTTTTGTCACGAAGTTTGTAACATCCAGAAGCAAACGCCCTTTAAAATATACCATATGTGTAAATAATCAACGTGACGAACTGAGTCCATTTAGCCATGTCTGCAGTCCGTCTGCCTGTCCATTAATTTATACGTCAACTAGATCCTCAGTTTTTTATATATCCTTTTGAAATTTTGCACACGTACTTTTTTTTCCGAAAACACTGCTCAACTGTCAAAATCACCGATACCGGATAACTATAGCATACAGCTGCCGTACAAACTGACCGATCCAAATCAAGTTCTTTTATGAAAAACTTTTCTATCTGAGAAACTATCTTCACGAAATTTGGCATTGTTCATTGTCCAAAGCAGCGCTATTTTATCCGTACAAATTGTTTAGATCTGATCACTATAGCATATAGTTGACATGCAAACTGACTTGGCAAAATCAAATTAAAGCTATTTTATATTAATTACCCTTTTCATAAAAAATACACCTATTAAGGGTATTATAGCCTTCTTTTTGGTTTTTTGATATCTTTTGAAATCTTAATCGTATCCATTTCAATACCCATAACTATAACAATAATTGTTACAATGGAAATGTGCAACTATTTGCTGAAAGTACAAGCTAGCCTTTTCGCGATTTTAGCCCCTTTTATTTTCAACATTTTCACCGCACACATTTTAATCTGAAATACTTTCTTTTTGTTTTCCTTTCTTTTTCATTTCAATTGCATTAATTTCCTCAGTCTGGCATTGTGGCTTTCTCTACCTTGTTTTCCATATTTTAATTCGCTTACCACAACATCCGCTGCCAAAAACTTCCTGCAGCTCAGACAATTTTAATAAAAAAAAATAAAAAACATACATACATATTTTTAGGGATATCTTTCTTGAGGCGGAAAATTTGTGATTTTTCTTTTTTTAATTTTTTACATTATTTGTACATTGTGCTACAAAATAGAAGCGGCATGATTTCTGAACTTTTTTTTTTTAATCCTTAAGAAAAAACATATTTTCCACCTAAAAGTTTCGTATCCGCTCTGCTTACCTTTATGAATATTATGAAGCATCTTTGCTTTCATTGTTATACATTTTCATAATTTTTATTCATTGCAACTTTGCTCATTTTGAACTCTCCGAAAATAATAATATGAAATATGAAATATCTACTTTTCCCCTTTTTAATGCGAACTCACTTTTGTCAATGAAAGTGGGGCGTGCCACTTAGTTATTTAATATTTTTATCGTTCACATCTTTTCCCGTCCGCTCCTCTTTACAACTACTTAACTAACGCCCTCACAATTTCTGCTTTTTCTTCTTCTTTCACACAGTACCGCCGAACATCGACGATGCACTCACCTCCAGTGACGTCATAGTGCGCGAAGGTGACAATGTAACGCTGCGCTGCAAGGCGAAAGGTAGCCCGGAGCCATCAATTAGATGGAGACGAGATGACGGCAATAAAATTGTGATCAACAAAACGATGGAAGGTAAATGCTAGTAAATAAGTACTTATGTAACAACAAGCGCATAAAAACGTCTGTGTATTGCACAGAAGAGAGCAAAACATTTAATTGTCAGCATTTCGTTGTAAAAGTGACACCATTTCCATCGCTACCCTCCGCAATTCCACAACGTCCGCTGTGCTTTGTGACTTTACGAAATTTTATTGCTGTCACTGTGACTTTTTGCGGTTTTGTGGTCGTTCGGTTTGCTGCCGGTCGTTCTGTCCGCTGTTTGTGTTGTTATCGCACTTCAGGAGATAGTAAAAGCTCTCAGGTATACCTCTATTGTAAAGCAGCAAGTAATGATGTCCTTTGTCGCTGTCGGTGGCAATTAAATTATTTAGATTGGTTTGAGCACAGATTTTATGGTCAAGCAGCAGAATACATTGGACGAAATTAAATTTTTCATGAAAAAGCTTTATTGCTCAGTGGATTTAATTTATATGGTCATAACCTCAAACTCACTACGCAGTACATCGCATTGACGCAGAAAAAGTTTAAGTATGGTTTAGCAGCCATTTCAGGCAATATTGAGGTGCCTGAATAGATCGGGCAGGTATTGACCATCTTGCTAGACTTTAATAAGGTTTTTATTTTTTACTCAATAAGCTCAAAGCTTAAAGAATTGGGAGAAAACTGGCTAACCAGGCTCAGATGAGCAGTACAAAACTCATTAGCTGACTGTTATTAATATTACAAGCCTTCAAACTTTCGTTGACTCGATATCCAACAAGCTATTTCGAACCATATTTATATAATCTCGTAGGCTTTGTGTTGGGACGCCCACTCCTTCCACGCCAAAATGATACCAGAGCCGACCAGTAATATGAAAAAGAATAGTTCTTCACAGAGGTCAAGTAGTGGAAAGTACAGATCACCAGTTAAATGCCAAAACATTTTATGTTCAGTCAACAATACTTCATAATTTCTACAGAATCGTTCGTATTGAGAACATCTTTTCTATAGCAGCCACAGACGACCTTCTGTAATACCAATGCTTGTTTGTTGGACTCAGAGCTCATGACTTAAGTAGTTTTCTGTTGGTTTTTCAGTAAATCATTTGTGATATTTGTAATCGAAAGTGCATTCCGATTGGCTCTAGCTGGGAGCTGAGGCTCCTGTTTCGAAAACTAGCTTAAGCACTCTTTAATTTCTTCATATTTGGAATGCGAGCTTAGGAAGACTAATAAAGGAAGAGTTAAGCACTCAAATTACTCAAATTCAGATTTAGCGTTTGCTTTAATTTTAATTGGAATTTACGATCGAAATAGATACGGAGCGATAAATATAAAAAACTATCGCAGCTTAAATTCAACCGTACCAGAAATCTTCTAGTTCTACTTCTTTCTAGTTATACTTCATCTAGGAGCGTCAACTCTCCAGTCACGCTGACGCGGCTACTATTCAATATACGAATTTAATCGGTTTAAAATTTCAAGTCCTTTCGGTTATTGCCGTAACACACGAAACTCCAAATAAACGCAAATTTCTTGGCCAACTTTCAGTGGACGCCTCAATTTCTATTGTCCTCGAAGGCCTTCTCAGCCAAAACAGGCAATTGCTTTGTTTACATTCCATTAAAAACTAATAAGCAAACTACGAACAAGGCCCAAGTTGCATGCCTACAGGTGAGCACAATCAAATGTTTTTGCCAGCACACACACACACTTATGCATATAACTCACACACACACAAACCCATATGCATATGGAGAAGGTAGCAGCTGTGTGCGAGGTCCTTTTCAAATGCCTGCAGCCATGCGAATCGAATGCAGCTGCAGCATCGGCAACAATTGCAATCGGAACTTTGTCAGCGCTCCACTTGAACATTTACACATACGCATACTTGCATAACTTTAAGGTGCTACAACTTGCAACATGCAACTATGGCAACAATGTAGAAATTTGCCAGCTGCGGTGAGTGGAGCCTCACGCTGTCAGTCAGTCAGTTAGTTGCTCAGCAATTGTTGCTTTGCCGTAGCAATTCTAAGTGTGCACAAAAGCGTTGGCAAACTTTCTAATAATGGACATGTGGCAAGTGGGTACATATGCGCACATGTGAGTGTCTCTGTGTGTGAGTGTGTTGAAAGTTTTGAAAGCTATCTGATGCCTTAAGCGCACAGCTTTGTTGCTTTTGTTGCAACATATTGCTAATCAAGATAGTAGTGTTTAGGGGTGTAAGAGTGGTCCACCTACATTTTTATATAGAAAAAAAATGTGTTAATACAAATTTTAATAAGCTATGCAATATTTCTTCTCTAACAATATATTGTATAACAATTATATATATATACGAGTATATACAGTGTTATACAATATATAGATATTTTTATTTCTATTTAAATGTTTATATTTAAACTGTGTCCAATATCTGCCTGTATGAATATCTTTTGTCTCGTTTCTTTTTCAGTGCTTGAAGTGGATGGCGAAGCCTTGGAGCTGGAGCGCATCTCCCGTTTGCACATGGGCGCTTATTTGTGCATCGCCACCAACGGCGTGCCGCCCAGTGTCTCCAAGCGCATCAAAGTCAGCGTTGATTGTAAGTAACACATATGTATAATAATACAACAAAACTTATTATAGATAATATACAAATACTTGAATATATCAAAAACTAAAAAATTGTTACTTATCCCATTTATACGCAAAAAACTTATATATATACAAATATCTTGCTTAATTATATACTATAGCTCAAAAATCCAAATATCTATGTGTTTACCCTTACAGTTTCACCAATGGTTTGGATACCCCATCAGCTGGTTGGCATACCCATGTATTTCAATATCACGCTAGAATGTTTCATCGAAGCAAATCCCACTTCGTTGAATTACTGGACCCGTGAGAATGATCAGATGATTACAGAGTCCGCGAAGTACAAGTAAGTTCAAAAATATTTATTTTTATAGTATTTCTTTCGAAAAGAGGCAGAAAATGCCGTTACCGCAATAGTGAGCATTATAACACGATATTGACCGACTGATTTTTCTCGGATTTTGATGAAATCGACGCGGACGACACCTTTTTCCAACACGACGGTACACCGCTTCACAAACACTATAGATACAATAAGGAAATCAATTTCCCAGAAGCTAAACATAACACAGAAAATAGTTTGGTACTATTTATATAAGGATAGATACAAGAAGAAACTCGACATTTCATCAGCCCGAATATCCATCAGCGAATGACTACTGAATAGCATCAAAAGCGATAAATTTCTGATGTCTCTGGTGATGAAGAGTGGGTCACATACGACAACGTAAATGTCAAGCTGCCAGTGTTCCGTCAGAACATCGTCAGGCCACACACATCGATAGCGACTTTTCAGCAGCTGGGGAAGCTTGGCTGATATATTCTCATGCATAAACCTTATAATTTGAATGCATCAAGGCCTGACCAAGGCCACTGATTTTGCTAGTAAAAAAATCCACTTAATTTTATGCTGTGTTATGTTATGTTATGCTATGTTATATTTGTGTATTGTAGTGCTGTCTCAACATATATAAAGAACAAATGTTCGCAAATGTTATGTAATTTTATCAACACATGAAGCAATAATTTATTATCGCCTCTACAGCGTAGGTTTTTGACGGCGCTTCGCTGATTGTTTACATGCTGCTTGTGGTTTCATTGATGACTCACCTAACTTGAAGATTATTATGAAATGTGCAATTCTAAATAACACAATAACACAATAACAACTTACTATTTACGTAACTCAGTGGCGCCTATTAATGTGAATATTATTTATGTGGTTTATGTGTGAGTGTTGTGTGTGTGCAGTCTATTTGCTTTTAATATTTAATAAGCACTAGTAAAGTAATCGAAGGCAGCACCTGAGGGTTAAGCAAACACACACATCTATGTATGCATGTGCATTTGTAAATATGTATATGTGAGCATTATTCGCTTGTAAGCAATTCAATTCATATGTGACGGCACTTAATTGCTGCTAATAACTGCAAATTACTAATGCGAAAGTTCGGGTGCAATGATTGATTGTTTACGAAAGCGTTGAAACCTACTAATTAATCGAATATTTTTAAATTTATCATATTATATATAAAATGAAATGGAATTTCTTAATATCAGCATTTTTCATACATAAAATGTGGGGCTTATCAATTCATTGTACGTTGAACTGGTCAGTCATGAACTTGAAAAGCTTTGTTTCTCCTTTTGATATGCGGTTCATTTGTTATGTTTCTTATGGCATTGACCTCTGGATATGAGCACCATACAGTTATATTTACCATATATTTATTTGTGGTCTACCCGAAACATGTTATGCGTAGCGGCCTTCTTATTTATCTAATATTACTTCATGTTAGGGTGAGACATTTGCTGGTGAAATAGTCGTAACTAAAATCGGAAAAATTGAATAGATAGAAGAAAAAGTTTGACGTTTACCATTTTGAGTGAAAACATTTTGACACTTCCTTGATATATGTAATATAAAAAACTGAAGGGGTTAAATCAGCGTAGAGCTTTCCAAACCACCTAACTTTGACGATTTACTTTGGAAGTAAGACAAAAGAAATTGATCTCTTTCATTTTTTATAAAATATGTACTTGAGTGATAACAAAATGTTTGAAGGAACTTCTTTATATAGGTGGCCAGTCTCCAGAATCACCTTTTTCAATAGGCATTCTAGGGAAGAAGACCACCCTAAAAACTTACTGCACTAAAAAATAAGAGAAGAAATATTATTTTTCTTGAGACTTACTAAGTAATAAAAGTTCGTATGTTACCAGCTATCCACCAAACATTCGCTAAATGTTGTACTTGCAAAAAAGGTTAAGCTTTGACTGAAATTAGCAGTAAATCGTTATTAAAAACAAGAAAAAACGTAAACTTCAGCTGCACCGAATTACTAAATAAGGAAAAAAGATCTTTAGCTAAGATACTTGTCTTGATTTTGATCGATTAATGGCCTGATAGCGGTGGTTTTACTTTAGGCAAAACAAAAAATTTTGTTTTTAATATTACTTAATATTATTATAGCACTGCTTATTTCTGTGAGCTTTTTAACGCCAAAAGCTGCTAATTTTCAAAATCTTCCATAAAGTGCCACCCTAATGTGTAAATAAAACGATATTTTCTTTTTCATAAGAACTAACGTGATCCCAAAGTTCGAATTATAGTCAACCTCAATTTGCTCGATTAAAGCGAAAAATGCTGACTGCTCAGCTGAGCTTTTTTGTTTATGTGTGCATCTTCGTGCCATATTACTTTCTTAGATTCAGCATAGTAAGCGTGTGTCTTATCGCTAAAGCTGGGTTTTTATTATAAATAAATAATAACTTTCGATTGTGGGGAATTTTTTGCATTTGATCGAATTATTCGCCAAGTACAAGGCAGTCGCTCAGCAGAAACGTGGACGTGCGGTGTAATTCGTAGTAAAAGAAATTAAAGTTGTACTAAAGTAATTTTGAACACAGCAAATAAACAATTAAAATATTAAGCAATGAATTCTTTAAAAATAAATAATAATAAATACTGAACAAGTGTGCATTGAATGTAAGTGAGAAGGTAAATATAGAAAGCGAATGAAAATTAAACAACAAAACATGTTATCTTCGGTCACACCGAAACTAGGAAACTCTTCATAGGTGCATTTCTTATATCATAAAAGGGCACAAGAAGATCTTTGTGTTGATTTGGATCGCACAGTTTTTATGGTATCTATATGCTATAGTGGTTCGATGTAAACAACTTGTTCGGAAATTGTAACGTAGCCTTGGACAATAAACTATGTCAAATTTCGTAAAGAAAATTTCCCAAATCCTTATGATATATGCTATATGGCTGGATTCAAAAAATATGTTTTAAGATTGTAGCCTTGCTTCGGAAAATATCGTGAGGATATCTTGTCGAATAAAAAACTTGTTTTTTTAAAGTACTTGACTTTCATTGGTCAGCCTGCAGGCTTTTGCAAAAGAAATCAGTCTAAAAGTCTTTCAAAGTCGTCGGCAAAAGATGCTAATACAACACGGGCGGCAGTATAAGCTTTCTTTTCCTTTTTCGCGTCATAATTCTTCCACCTTTCAACGATTTTGCTTTTAAAAATGCTTTCGGTGCCACTGTCGTTCGAAGTAGCCGCTTCGTTCGTTATGCAATTAGCTTGCTGGTTGCGTCTAATTTCGAAATTAGTTTGTATATTTAGATCCAATTGAGAAATATGTGAAAGTAATTTAACAACAGTGATATCTATATAAATATATAGCATATCCCTTAACTCCGGTTGGAGCGTAGGGCCAAAATTAGTTTCAGTACTGAAGTATAATATTATCAGAAAGTTAAGTAATCAGCCCTGGTTTGCTAGTTTGCTTATAGGGCTGCTACTTTGGTCTACGAACCTGTCATAAAAACGCTACATTTATAACGCGAACCGCTTGCTCCAAGGCAGTCACCCGCTGTAGCTCTCGCACTTGACAAGATAACAATCCTCGAGGAGGGGTGAGGGCTGCCTAGCGGGCATACACTTTGTAAGAATTCCTTACCTTCCAGCCTATTCTGAAAATATTAACTGCTTTAGTATAAACTGCTTAAGTATAAAATAAATTCCTAATAAATTAAATAAAGATATAAATATTAATTTTATACGTTTTCAGTGCGAGCATTTTAGCAAAGCGAATTGGCAGAATTTCAACGTAATCTAATTTCTTTACAACTGTAACTAAAACTACAATAAATAAGCGCCGCCAACAACAAAATGCATTTACACCAGGCCCCATCAACATTGGCACTATTTTTACTACTACTCTTGACCCATTCCGCCCGCAAAGGTGTGTTCGCCAGCGTAAATGAGAAGCACATTCAGGCGATCACCAGTTACATGGATCCTCTCGTTAATCCATGCGACGACTATTACCGCTACGCCTGCGGCAACTGGGCTAACGTACACTCGAACGAACAGTACTACGAAGTCACCAGCCTGATGGATCACAAGGTCAATAAGCGTTTAATCAACTATTTTCAAAACTATCAGCTGGAAGGCAGCGCTGAAGCTGGCAACGAAACCTACACGGATAAACTTTTTCTCTACTATCAAACATGCAGGCGCACAAAAAGTTTTCAATTAAAGCGTTACTTGCAGTTTGTGCGTCCCAGCGTCTACTTGGACTGGCAGCTGATGCTCGAGGTGCGCAACCCCAATGCCACTTGGCCAGCCGAACGCTTCAACTGGCAGTTCACGTTGGCTAAGTTGCGCCGCTATCACTTCAAGGGCGCCTTCTTCGAACACATACTGGTGGAGGACGATAGCGACTCGACGCGATACGTAATCGATTTGGACAAACCCACGGACAAGCTGCCTGATGCGATAGTGATCGCAGCGCTGCTTATACAGTTGGGGGTGAAGAAAATGCGTGCTATTGAGGTAGCAAAGCAACTGCATACTTTTGAGAACGAACTCAAGGTGCTGCGTCGTATTGAGGATACATTCGGACCGCAGCCCATCTCCTTGTATAAATTGCAGGAAATGATGCCAGATATGCCATGGCAATTATATCTGCAATTAGTACTGAGCTATACTCTTAAAGAGGACTATGAGGTGCAGATAAACAATCGTGATTACTTTGTCGCACTCATCAATTTTCTACGACATACAAAGCCTAGCTTGATTGATAATTATATAATGGTGAAATTTGCACTTTTTCTGATGAAGAATAGTGCCGGCGGCTTCACCAAGATGGATTGTATGTGGGATGTGCGCAAAAAGATGGATATGGCCGTTAATTTCCTCTACAAGCAACAATTTTATGGCGGCTCAGACGCCGAGTACATCGCCGATATTGAGCGCATATTTAATCTGACAAGGCAAGAATTCAGCGCAAGATTGAATAATAATAGAATGAAACTGCTGCCAAACCAGCTTGATTTCCTTAAACGCAAATTATCCGCCATGCGCTTCAACATCGGTAATCTGCCGGCAAACGTGAATGAGCGTTTCATCGATGATTACTACGGCGAAGTACACATCAACACCAATGACTACTACAAAAACCATTTGCTCTTGCTGAAACTGCGCTCACGCAAAGAGCACGATCAGCTAACAGCGCCGACGCCATCTCCCAGCGACTACCATTACATTAGCGATGGTGACAGTTGCACACCATTCTATTTGTTTCGTAAAAATTTGGTGGTCATACCTTACGCCTTTCTACAGCCGCCTGCATATCATATCAAGATGCATGACATACTCAAAATGGGCATATTCGGCTTTGTGCTCACTCACGAGATTATGCATGGCTTCGAGTCTAGCGGTGTGCTCTACGATTTTTCGGGAATGTCAGATTGGCTCGGTAGCTCTATCCTCTCAGAGGAGGAATTTAATATTTCACTTACTTGCTGGCAGTATCCTCAAACGGATAGTATCGATGAGCGTATAGCAGATTTTTTGGGAATTCGTGTCGCCTACGACACGCTCTTTCATCCGAACTCTAGCATGAATGCGCGTCAGCCGAGCTTCACAGATATAACACCGAGACGTTTGTTCTTCTTAACTGTCGCCCAATTTTTCTGTGGCAATTTGCTTGCGACTTTCACCGACCACGATGCGGACGATGTACGCTTACAGCAGACACTCAAGCAATTCGAGGCCTTCACTTTGGAGTATGAGTGCCAGCCAGGCGATGCCATGTTTGAGAAGAGTAGATGTGAGCTGTATTAGGGCGTGAAGCGGCGAACACGACGAAAGAACTATTCAATCACTAGATTTATTATTTTTGTGGCAATACAAGCCAATTGATTCCTTAAAACCTAGCATTTAGTCTTGTATTAGAAGTTAAGTTATTTATCCTTGAATAATTTTTTACAATAAACTAGTTTCTGCTAAATATCGCTTTCTTGTGTTTTTATCAGAAATGTTTCATGCTATGCTTCCTTCAGGGTCCTCTAGCAGTAATGCGAACAGCGCCTCCTAGCCGAAACCTACCGTTAATTATGAAAATGAACCATTGTGACACCTAGCGGCGCTTTGGGAATGTGTCCGTAAGATTTAGTGGAATTTTCCATATATTTTATCTGTTGTATGCTAACTGCTCAGTTTATTTAAGACTTTTAAATTAGTATTTATTTTATTAATATGTTTAAGATAAAACTAAATTTTTTCTCTCGCACAATATTTACAAATATTCAATCCCGCCTTAAAGCAATTTTAACTATCAAATATACAAGTTATATCAGTTAATGTACATGTATATGCATATTCGCCTTCATCATATAAAATATAACCAAATATATGCAACGAAAGCTTTACAGAATGCTTGAATAGTTTTCGAGCTTTTAGCTAAAGCTTTTTACAAAAGTTCTCTTACTTTAAATATACTCTTTAATTACATTTATTTATGTTTATTGTGCTCTTTCGATCAAAACATCTAAGCTTATCAATTTTAGATTACCCTTTGCTATATTTGTTGCAACAGTTTCATTAGCCTTCCTCTCTAACTGCTTCACCAAAGTCTACATCGATGTTTCGACTGCATTTTCGCACGTCGCTCGCAACCGAATTCGCGTGAGAATTCCTCAAAGTTAGCTAATGTCTGCAGCACGCGCAACTCATCGATTGCATGTTCCAAATAGGCGGTCTGTCTGAGACTGCGTTGCACCTTGCTGCAAAAGAACTGCGCGAAGTTGACGAAGAATAGTTGTTTGTCCGTGAATTCCGGTAACAGCTTGCTAAGCATGCCAGCCGATCGTTGTGTCTTATTGCCACTAAAGTAGGTGTCGTAGGCTAAACGGAAGCCTTCATAATCGGCAAGTTTCTCATTAAGACTACGCGAGCCGGTGGCCAGCTCGTTCTGCATGCAACGTAGTCCCTGCATGAAACGCTGATTAGCCGCAATCTCCTCGCTTGGTCCCATTATGTTGCCGATGCTATCGTAGTCAATGCCCACTGAGTCAAAGCCATGTAGCAACTCGTGTGCAATGCTGAAACCGAGCAGCGAATATTTGAAGATGTCGCGCAAGCTGCGATGATATATGGGCATTTGCAAGTAGCCATAAGGCACGATAATTAAGTTCTTTGGCTTCACATAGAATGGCGATGAAGAGCTGCCTGCCCAATCGGGTAGCACATACGAATCATTTTCGGGTGTACTGAAATTGCTGGCGACCATAGAATCCAAACTCTCGTGGCTCTTTTCGACAGCCAAACGCAGTAAACTCAGCTGATTGACATAGAAATTATTCGGATCGAGTTCGACACGTTCATAGTACTCATCGTAATATTCAGGCGTGGCCTTACGTGGGGAATTGCCTATCTGCAGGCGCATGCTGTTGATCTTCTGCAGTAGCGAATCTACAATGGGGCGTTGCAGCTGCAGCCGATTATCGCTGATGATCTCATAGAACTTTTGCTGTAGTCGTGCAAATATTTCTTGCACATTTTCGTCTGTCTGTGTCGGATCCTTGTAGTAATGACGACCTATAATATAGCTCATAGCCAAAGGCATGGCGCGTCGCAAACTCGAAATGCATTCGTTTTTAGAAATCTCCGCCGGTCCACGCTGTTTCAGGTAGAGCAAAAACTTCAACATAATGTAGTTGCACTGCGTCTCCTTGGGCGTATCGGCGAGTAGACGCACCAAGGCGCGCATATAGGGTATATTTTGTATGATGACAGTAGTTTCAAAGTTAGTGGAGACACCCTTCAGCTGTTTTAGCAGTTCAAGCCAATTTATTTCCTGCACATACTCCTGCAAATAGCCGAGCTGCATTTCTTTGGCGCCTTCTTCGTCCTCAATTTCATGCAGTTTGTGTAGACGCAAAGAGAAAGTGTGTACCTCACGCGCTACCTCGTTCGCCGCGCGCTTCGTTTGGCCAATATCCAAGAGCAGCTCTATCATTATGCCCTCCTCGCTGGGCTCTGTCTCAGCCAAATTCGGCTTGTCCAGGTAAATGCTATTACTGCTCGACTCATCCCAACGCGGCAGCACTTCCTCCTTCAAGAGCACACCATTCAGCCCATACAAACGCAGCTTGGCAATCGCTGACAGCCAGTCAAAGTGCTCCGCATGCCATTTCTTGCCACCGTTGCGTGCCAAAATGCACCAGTGCGCTCCAAAACCCGGCTGTATGAGTTGTAAATATTTCTTTAAATTATAAGGCTTCACTTTCTTGCAGGAGCGATAGTAGATGCGTGCCTTCTCGTAAATCAGCGGTTCACCAACCGAATCCTCCAGCAGGTATGTGGACGCTGTCGATGTGGCAGCCGTAGTGCTGGACGCTGCTGGTTGTGGCTCCACGACCAGATCGCCCACCATAGCGTAGGGACCATCCAATGCCGCCGCGGCTGTGACAAAATTCGTGACGACAGCAGTTAAGCTGTCGCCGGATGATGTTGGTATTGCCGCCGTAGTTGTGCTGTTAACCGCATTGCTGGCACTGGCGTTGAGCTGGCGCCGCAGCAAATGCTCCAACTTGCGGTTGAGCTCATAATCCAGCAGGCCAAGCGTATCGCCGAAATCCAATTGCTCGATATGCTGCTGCGGCCAGTGGCCACAAGCGTACTGATAGAAGTTTTCGCATGGCCGCGCCGTTGTGTCCATGTAATTTTTTATATTCGTTGCCAAAATTTGATTCACATTGCCGCCGTGACCGTGGGGACGGCTACAATTGGTCGGCGTGGTGCGCCAAATAATGGACGCGAACAATGTGCAAATTATGCTCAATTTCAACATCTCACCACCCACACTCACTCAAACACGTATTATAGAGTAGTGCTACACTAACGAATTTCAAGCGCGGCGCATTGACCTCTTTGCAATTTAGGCAATAGCAAAGTGTTTTGTGAATATTTTTCGGGTATTTGCAATTTTAGTTCGAAAAGTGTTCCTCGGACCGCTCCGCTTACACGCACTTACAAGCCTCAACTAATGGCGTTTGCTGGTCCAATTTACGCTGCTACGTTCAGCTAATGGCGAGCGAACGAAGCGACACCTATCCGCGACGCCGTCTTAATCTCGGTGATCTCGCGCCGGTCAGTGTCATTGTGATTTCGTTCAGTTTTCTTTTATTTTGATTCTGTGGCGTATTTTATGCGTGTTTTCACATTTGTTATTGTATAGTTTGTGCAAAAATTCGCCTTTTGTTGCTCGTGAATTCGTATTGTGGCCCATTTTTAATTCTGGCATACACATAAATGTGTCTATACTTGTATATATACATATTCTTATCAAGTCAAGATGTATATAAGCGATTTATAAATTTGTATGTAAATACATTCTTGAAATTCGCGATTACACTCTTGGTGATCTTCATTTTTCGCTCTCTCGTGCTCAGTACTATAACACCTCTCTCGCTTTACCATATGCGATTAAGAATAGAGCTCACCGCATTATCAGCGTTGCGGTAAAATCGACCTATATTATTCAGGCTTTCATTAACTCCTGTCTCAAGACCAGTGAGACTCAAATTGTAGTATTTTTTCAATAAAAATAATTATAAAGGAAAGCATGAAAGTTTTCTCATAATACTTGTGACGTTCAAAGACTCGGGTGCGCTGGGTTTTATTTCGAAAGCTTAAAACATTTTATTTTAATGGTAGTCGCTGAAATTTAAGTTAATATATTTTTCGGAATGGTAAGTCATAGGGGACTGGATGAGTCCACATTGCTGATGAGCACTACGCCTAAAGCTAAGCACATATTAGACGTTTTCGATTCGACATTTCTCTGCATGCTATCTTTGCGCGCTGCTCTCTTCTCAAAAAATTACATGTTAGTGCAACGACAAAGTTATCGAGTTAAAGTAATAGCAGAAAGTATGCGGATACCTCAATAAAGTGGTATATATAACCGCTATCTTCAATGCTATCCAGTTTCACTTTGCATATTTTAGATCAGTTTTACTATTGTGAATGGCTTAAAAGACAAATAAAAATTAAAATTTCCTTTCTTATTTGAATTTAGAAACTTAAGACTTAAAATATTTATAATAATGTATAGAAAACATAACTCAGGGGTCACAAAAACTTTTTTGACGCGTTAAAATCAATTTCGCCACCAAGAAAGTATCATAGCACATTTGCATATGCGTCAGAAGACATGTTATCACAGGGTTGCACCCCAAGTGCTGCCTACTTTGTTCAATTCGCTGCTCTCCAACGCTTGGCGAATCGAAGATAGTTATTGAATGAATGTAAACTGCTTTTTGCTCTTTTCAGCTTTGCTCTACATTTCACTATGCGGCTAGCCTTAGATTGTTTTTGTTTATACATATTTTTAATATTTTTCAGCCATATGTTTCAATCTTGTTATGTCCGTATGTAACAAGATTGAAATATATTCTTAGAAGACTATAGCAGTTGCAGTTGGCGAAATTGCCATTCAGAAGCTTACACACATACATATTTCTATACATATATAAGTATTTCTATGCATATATGTAACCAGCTCATTGCCATTAATCTTGACTATTCAATTTAGAGAGAATCTAAAGGCATTCGAAAGCAACTATTTCTCAGTGGCAGACGATTTTGTTTGTTATTCTAACCATTCAATGGCGTAGTAGAAATCCAATAGTAGGCCATAATTTATTGTACATTCACACATATTTATTTAATATATAATAGATATGTTTATAGGTAGAGACACTTTTATAGACACTGAGCAGCGAGCAGATCTACTATAAACAGACTCTCTGTTTTTAGGAAAGCCAAAAGAGCTGGTAATGAGAGTTAAAGGAATAAGAATTGAGAGCCTATATACGAGTACATATACATATGAAATCGATTTATGTATCGAAATTTAAACAAAAAAATCCTTAACTAAATAACTTTTTTCTTTAAAAAAACTTATTTAAAAAAAAATGTTAAGGAAAACACTAAAAAATAAAAATAATTTGTAAAGAAAATATTATATATTTTTTAGTTGGTGTTTCTCTGTCAAGTAGCTGAAAATGAACATAAAATTTTCCTGTTATAACCAATATGCCGCGCACAAAGGCTCTGGTCTATTCAAATCTCAAGCATTGTATATGTTTGTTCGTTTATATGTCTGTATTGTGTGTTTATGTTTCTTATCACCTTGACCTTGAGATCACTTAAAACGCATTCTTATCATACAAAGTCCTCTTCTCGAAAAACTTGAAAAAAATTAAAAAATTTACATATTTACGTTTATATTGTATATTCTCGTAGTGAAAAGAAAGTGAGAAAGAGAAAATGTTTGCCACCAATCGTCACAGAGAACAAAATAATTATTTATGCTTGGTTGAGTTGGATTATTGTCCTATTAATTTCCATAATACAGGTATCACATAATGCTGAAAATGTGTGGATTCATGAAATGGTGATAATGCAGATCCTTCTCTATTTAATGTTAATTTTTTTTACTTTTCTGTATCTATTCAAAGTACCGCTCTTATAGTATGGGGCCATTCATGTACAGATGTAATTTTTGGCACTACTTCAGATCTCACTGCACTTGGTATTTGACAAAAAATGTAATATGTCTAAACTCTCCCTTACTTTCAAGACATAAATTTAAGCAGGTCTCGATAAGTGCTTGTCGTTAAAGCTCGTGAAGATTTTTTGTGAAATACGTGAGTTTTTCATAAAAGGTCTTGACTTGAAAGACTTAAGAATAATTCAGTAATAATTCCAATCGCTTCGCCTCTGAAGAATATAATAATAATAAAAAAACTTTCTAATTTTCATAAATTATAATTAGTATTTTATCTAGTAAATATTTCCAAATTCAATAATTGAAGTAATACGATATGTAATTTTGATCACTTTCTTTTTTTGATTACAGAACTGAAACACTGTCGGGGAACCCCTCTTACAAGGCAACCATGCGTCTGACCATAACGAATGTGCAGAAGAGCGACTATGGCAGCTACAAATGTGTGGCGAAAAATCCACGTGGGGAAATGGATGGCACCATAAAGCTTTACAGTAAGTGGCAAAACAATTTTACGACCATATTATCTATTGTAGCTTTCATTAAATAGAATAAGCTTACAAATTACTGCAAAAAAATAGAAAGTAAGCTACTTTCTATCAATTGCCTCATACTTCGTTGATTGAATTAATCAAAAAAAAAAAAAATAGATGCTACATAAAAACAAAATTTTCTCAATTAAAAAATTCCAAAAATTGTCATCACTTTATTCAACCGATTATCCAAACTAGCGTCCCATTGCAGAAAAGAAAACAACAAAAAATTAAGCAAAGCACCAATTATAAGTGGGGCAAATTAACGACTTCAAGACTCATTGCAATTGATCAATCCTTTAAAACATTGTTTAACGGTTAGCCATCAATCATATTAACTAGAGCTTAAAAAGCACAATGAACTGCTGGAAAAAAATCGATAATTAAAAGTGTAATGATAATAACCAGGTGTAGGAGAAGAGAGGGGAGAAAACCGAAACTACCCAAGTCATAAATATAATAATGATGTGTGAAAAAATGTGGGGCAATTAAACGATAAACCGAATAACTGGCGATATGGTTGCATATGTGTATTTGTACAAAACTAACAGTTGGTTGAAAAGTTGCTAGCTCTCACCAAGAAATAGCACTACCAGCTCCAAATATTTTTTCTCAAGCTGGAACATCTGTCGTGTGAATACATGCAAAGCTAGAAGTCATTCTGTCTATTAATGCTTTGTTTACAAGCCATTTGAAGTTGACGTGTCCGAATATTTTTTAATATGGAAAAAATTTAATATCGCGCAGTGATTAGATCCTTTGTTTTGAAAGGTTTAAAGCCAAAGGAAATTGACGAAAAATTGTTAGAAGTGTATAAGGAGTCCTCAGCTTCAAAACGAACCGTTGTATTCAGAGCTGGTGAATTTAAACGTGGTCGTACTACACTTGAATATCCATGCGAAGGAGGACCAAAAACCGCAACCACACCAGAAATCATTGAGCAAGTTCATTGTATTGTTAGTGAAGATCCAGGTTTGACTCAGCGTTAAATTGCTAATGCCTTAGGCATCTCAGAAGAAGAAGTACCTCATATATATATATATATATATATTTATAGCGCAGAAACTTTTCAACCAACCTGTATAAACAGTATGTGCGAATGAAAAAGCATGCAAGCCAACTTTTCTACAATTTGATTTAATTTCCCGCAAAAAATTTCAATGCAAAGAAATCAAACTGAATACCTTTCCACCTCATTGAAATTTTCTGCATATACCTTTTTCATTAAAAGCTCACAAGCTGTCAATTTCAACAGCATTTAAACAGCTGCTTATATTGACCACCAGCTAAGGCCAGACGGCCTCCAGCTAGGAAAGATCGTTGCAGGAAGAAGCGGATCCCTATTGCTTATCAAATCTGCAAGCTCATTAAGTGCTTGAATATTATGTGTTTAGTGATGGTAAAAACTATCCATGTCCGTCTCCGTCTGTTTGTCTGTATATACAAGAGCTAGTCTCTCAGTTTTCGAGATATCGATTTGAAATTTTACACACGCACTTTTTTCCCCAAAAACCTGCTCATTTGTCTGAACCGCCGTTACTAAACCACTACGTTATAGACCATAACTGCTCTACAATATATTCAATCCAAATCAAGTCCTTGAATGGAAAACTTTTTTATTTGATAAGATGTCCAAGCGAAATTCGACAAGAATTGTTTGTAAATCCAGTGCTACAATATCAAAAGAGATCGGACTACTTTATCATATAGCTTCCATACAAAATGATCATTCAAAATCAAGTTCTTATATGGAAAACATTTGTTTTAATTTATAAGGTATCTAAACGAACATACACAAATTAATCTAAGGAAAAAATTTATCGATTTGATTTGCGCGGGTAATTCAATTTTACTAGTCCGGGTCAAATTTGATCAGATGGTAAATGTGATATTAAACACTAGTGTACAACTTCTCCATTCAGTCCATCTTTAAAATAACGAAAGAATTATTTTTAAATTATATGCTTTTATTCAAATCGTTTTCCACTCTCACTGGTGTCTAAGCGCTTTGTGGCATTCAGCTCATTTTATTACATTCACTACACATTTGTACCCTGCTAAAACTTGTAATAAATCCTATTTCGTCCTTTCGCCATTCACATACCGCATGAATTTTTATTTGCATGCTTTTGTCTGGGCGACAGTGCTGCCACTTTGGAGTCCAACAGGTTTTATGCTAACGGTTAACAGCATTGAGCACTTGTTGAAATGCCTGGACAGCGGTAACTTGGCTGCCGTCAGCACTGCCATTGAGGGCGCTGAGCTGTGGCCGGGACTGAGGTGCTCAGCTGTATAAAAATAATCATAAAAATCGAAGAAATGCAAACGAATTGCTGCCCCTTCGCAATGCTCTTTCACACCTAAGCACATTTATATGCCATTTGGCCTGCAGCTCCACTTTGTCGTAATTCTTTTCGGCTTCTCTTTAAGTGCCTTCCTGTGTGTGGCTGTGCTTCCGTTCGCTGTAAAATGCAAAGCTCCTGGGGATTTTCAACTCTACCCTCTTGTCTGCACGTCCGTTTGTCAGGTTTGTGCAGTTTTTGCGAAAAGTTATTGCAAGAAGTAGCGATTTGCTCGGTTACAGCAAGAAAGCACACAAATCAATTTTAACTCATTGAGTAGCGAAAGTTTTTGCACAATGAACTCAATAAAGTTCGTATGAAATACTGCCAAATTATTAAGTTGACGGTTTCGAAGGACTTTAAATATTGCAAATAGCTGTTAAGTGTTTATTTGGTAAAATATTTGAGTTGCGCTAATATTTAAAAGAAAACGATGATGCTTGAATATATTTAAGTTCCGTTAACTTTAAAAAAATAATTGCACTTCGAGTGGTGTCTCCAAGCAAGGCCATACACACTTCTTAGTGCAGTTCTTACCAGATGTCGACATTAAGAAGTTAGTATAAGGTTTAGTAAAAATAAACACATTATTTTTGCATTAAATTTAAGATTTTATTTAACATAGTTAGAACTAACCGATTAATGTGAAATATACACCGATGTCTGTGGCCTAGCGTTGTTCTAATGGAACACAATTCATCTCCTATCCTACCAATTGTTGTCAGCACAGATCCAATTTAAGAGTTTGGCTGTAGGGGAGCAGCTCATAGTAGGTTATTTCCTGTCACTGGCAGCTAAACACGTGATCAAATGTGCGCTTTTCTTCCCCAGGGTGTAGTTTCTTATCTGTTCACTTCATTTATACAACTGTATAGATTTATATCCTGAATAGCGTATATTAAGTTTGTTAAGAAGCTTGTAGTAACAACTATAGGAAAGCATTGTAGGGTCTCCAATATAAAGTATATATATAAATGGTCGGTGTATCCGATTAGGTTATACCCCCATTTGTCTGCGCGAACTAGTCGCTCAGATTTTAATATATTGGTTTGTGGTTATAGTTTTTACCCCTCACATATATAGTTTCGACTTCTGCCTTTTCTTAATTCAAAGATATGTTTTCTTCAACAAAATCTATTTTTACTGTAGCTTCTTCTATACAACGATTTTATCCAGTGTGCTATGTGTAAGCAACTTACCGCTTATTTCACCTTTCCCCACATATATGGACTATCCTAGCGATAACAAGTAGATTTTAATTATGTCCTTGTTTTCTACAATATTCACAGTTTTATTACATCCTTTCTATTTGCTACCCCTCTCTATAAAATATATCAAACATAAACATAACTTTGGTCATCGCCTACAACATTTTCAATACACGTGTAGACATCCAATAAACCTTATTAAGTCATCATAATAACCCTAACATATTATTACCCACACAAAAACAGCAAAAACTATTTCCAGCAAACAACACTAGAAATATGTTTGTATATGTCTCCGATGGCATTCTATGCGCACACAATGGTTATTGTCCGTCTGTTGAGACATAGTGGCAGACAAAAATCGATTCGTAATTTGCCAAATCACATTTAAGTAGCAAATTTATGGGTAAACACTAAAAAGCAGCCATAAAATCAGTGTCAAGCGGTCGCACAATTGACGCAGTGGCACAAAAGAGCAGACACACACGCACACACACATACAAGCAGCAATAGGCGGCACGCCGAGCCACAGACAAAAGGGTAATAAAAGCCATATATGTATAGTTGTGTTAGAAAGGTGGATACATGTGCGTTGCACACACACACATATATACAAATACATGTTAGTGTGAGTCTAGTGTACTATGTCATATATATCTATTTATTTTTATGGGCGCTTGTGTGCTTGTCGATGAGGCATACTTACCCACATCTGTGTTTTGGTGTTATTATTATTGTATTTATATACAAGTAAATGTGCCTTAGTTGCAATGTCAAGCACAAATTAAATCTTCAATGAATTGAAACTCACAATGGAATGATAATACATCGAAAGAAATGCGCATAAAAGTGCACACGAGATATAAGTAATTATTTCAAGTATATAAAATGTCGCCTTGCACCTCGTAAATTGATTGCAATTAAGTTGTTGCAGCGTAAAATGCATACTCAGCTAAAAATAACATTTCACGGTTGAATGTTGCAGATCTACTAGCAGCGAGTAATGCTTTAAGTAGACATTGCTGGATTTGAAAACATGTTTAAGTACGCTTAAGGTTCGCTATATGTCAGTAGCCAATTGAATTGTTATTACTTAAATTTAGAAATATTTTTGCGAATATTAATACAAGTTAAGATTTCACGCGCCATTTTTAATCAGACAAGCTTTCCACTCAATATTCGGCGCCTTACACTGCTAAGATAATATAATCGTTATTGAAATCTACTTTCACAAAAAAATTTTAAATATATTGTAGTTTATGATATAAGATGGAAATTTTCATGAAGTATTATTTAGAATAAGTTGCTTGTTACTTACACTTACCGCACCTTTTCTTAGTTTAGTAGCATCAAATCATCTAATAGTCGATAACTTTTTTGAATGTTGATCTAAATCCAACTTTTGAAATATTTCAAAAAATTTTTAAAATTACAAAATATTGATTATTTTAGCGCTCTAGAGCCTGATATTTAGTAATTCAAAAAGTTTTTCGCAACTTAATACAACAGCCACGGCGTATGAGCAACATTGTAATTATGCTATGAGACTTTTAGGTGTTCGCCTATTGCGAAAAAATATTTTTTGTTGCATGTTTCAATAGGTTTTATTTTTACAAATACCAAAATTGTAAATCGTTGTCTCAAATAGTTTTTGAGCTAAAGTGTAGACGTTCAGTTCAATCAGCTCAATCACACGTTTTTGAGCTAGAGTGATTAATCGTAGACAAATGATACAATCACGATCAAAATTTTTAGGCATGTTCGTATATGTATAATTCTGCATATAATGACTGCTCAGTTTCCAGATAAAAATCAGATTTCGGTAGGCCAAAAACGACCAAAATTTTAAAAACACCGCCATTTTCTCAACTTTTAATTTTTTTTCCAAATGGACAATATCTTCAAGTCGACAAATATTCTTTTATCAGAGGATATCATACCCCTCATGAGCACTAAAACATTTGCTGATAAAAATTTTGAATATCACTTATTAAAATCCTTAAATATTCATATGCACTATGTATTCGTGAGGAGCTAACGCCACGGCGTTTGAGTGATATTGATATTGATTGATATATTTTCTTCAAAGTCAAAAATATTTGAAACCGAAATCGCTCATTCTACTGAGCAGCGCCACTCTTTCTCCAAAAGTCCTTCTTACACCGCTAACTAAAAAAGTTGTGGAGAAAAGACGGAGAAAATTTTTTTTATAGTATACTGCAATGGATTTACGTACATTAAATCTTTGTCATTAAAGTGCTCATTTGTGCGACTAATCTACTTTTGCTAACACTAGTTTCGAATATGCTTGTTGTTGGCTAAAAGCATAAATATATTTGTATGTATGTATTTATTTTCGATTGTCGTTTGTATACATTTGCGCATGTATGTGTATGCAGCGTCATAAATCAGCTTATGTCCAAGTGTATGTATGTGTGTAGCAGGTCTCTAGTTGGCAATAATTTTACGTTTAATGATTTCGTTTTATGTGTCAGAGTGTGAGTGCAACGGCAATAAATAACACGAAAAGCCACTAAAATCAGCGTTAAAGCAAAAAATAGAAAGCAATCGAAAAAATTGTAATAGCCGTGCGATTGCTCCTACTCGCATGCATGTGTGTGTGTATATGTGTGCAGTCAAATGCCTAAAAATATGCTAGCAAACAATATTTCACATTTTACTGCCATGGCAAATACATGTACAATAACATAAATAAATAAATAGAGTGACCAGAAAAAATCTAATGGGAGGTAAGCCATTTTCAGGCCTTTTATTGCTTGGCATTTTATCCTTTAATTTGTTTTCCACCGCAAACGGATTTGTTGTGTGTGTGTGTTTGCAAGTGTTAAATAAATAATAATATCAAAAAATTGACGTTATTTGATTTATTTAGTTAAAGCATTTCGGTTTAAATCTCTGCAAATCCCACAAAATGCCACCAAAATTTTTTGCGATTTTATTTTAACCGCAAAATTTAAATGATTGATTTTGCATATTTTGTGGCGTGGCAATTTTGAGCTTTACCGGTTGACCAAAAAATAGCACTGTTTAATATGGTTACAACAAGAAATAAGAGAAAATATTTTTCAAACAATTTACTTACTTATATGTTTTAACATAAGCATTTATTTACAGCATTAATTTAATTCTTTTTTTTTTGCCTTTCCTTTCAGTGTCCAATCCGCCAACGACGCTGCCACCGCCGACCACAACCACAACACGTCGCACCACAATAGCGCCAGGCTGGGACGGCTTCAGCACGCCAATTTATGGCATGATGCCAACCAATTCAGTGATTGTCATCGATAAAAGTAAGTTTCTGATAAATCTAGGCACGTGAGCGCCATAAAGCAGTGAATTCGTTCGGTCACAGTGTGTGGGCTTACGGCGACCGGACGTGCAAACTTGCAAAATTATAGCAAACGGTGCAAACATTGTTTACAAACAAACAATTTTTTATGATTTTACTAAACGAGAACTTTTGCTTTTGAATTGAGTCAGAGATTCGATATGCAAATGCAGTAACTTATGCGTTTAAACTAAGGCAGCATAGCTTAAACTTAGAACGTGATGAGGGTCTGTAGAATTTCACCCCAAAATCAAAGTTGTTGTACGATAGTATTAGTCACAGTATTGTCCATCTGAAGCTATATAGTTTTCCAATCTTGTGACCAATTTGAGGATTTTATTCCAAACGAACTGCACCAGTTGCGTTTTTTGACAATCGGTCGCTTCATCTGCAATGGCCTGGCCCAATTTTAAAAGCTGATAATTCAGCACGCCCTTCTGATTTGGCTGTTTGGCCATGTTTCACATAAATTTATGCGTTAAGAATTTTCGTAGTGGATCAATTTTTCATCACCAGTCTCAAACCGATGCAAAACGGCTTCTTTTTGTAGCTTTAAAGCATTATTTCTGACTCACAAAGATTCTGTGAGCCCTTCTTGTGTTTGCCAACAATCTCCATTGAGTAATTCTTATAGTTTCTTATCTTCAAACTTTTGACGGCTGCCCAGTACGTTCTTCGACTTCCAAGCCAAGATCATTTATTTTGAATCATCGAAACTACTTTTTTACTACAAACTTCCACCAGTACACGATGACTTTCGACTAAGGGTTTCTTCATAAAATAGCAATGTAGAAAAAGTTCTAGCAGAAAGATTCTTTCAAACACAAGTTCGACATATTTGAGTGAAAACAAAATTATTGTTGTTTATGCTTCAAATGAATGACGTACGACATTTCAACGCATGTTCGGAATATGAGAACAACGAAAAAATAATCTACTATATCTAATAATATAATTACTTTCCTGAGAGCTTTCCTAGCTTAGCTCCGCTAATTGTCCTATGAACATCAAAAAATCCACTGCAATTTTCATATTGCAAGATAAAATTACCACATGATCACTTCGTAAATGCGATTTGTAATGAGATTATGTAGTCAGAGACCTGACCGCGTCGACTCTGGAACTACTTAGTAGTTTTGGAAGATTGGAGAAGCAATATTGCTCATATTCTATTCAATCTTAAATAGCTTTTATCTTACCTTAAAGTCTGCTTAAATTAAAATTGTCTTCCACAAATTACTCCAACTGCTTCATCATCTTAATTCCTTATAATTTTAAAAAGTAAATATGTATAAGTGCGAAGACATATAAATATAATGAGCACTAGCAACCTTACTAATGTTTTAAGTAGTAGTTTATGCTGCAACAATAACAATAGAAACGTAGAAGTATAAATTTTAAATCAATTAAGCTGTCCGCCATTTGCTGAAGTCACTCAACTTTAATACCTGGGAGGTTAGGTTAGGATATCAGGATCTCATTTGGATCACATAGCACATAGTCTGCGTCGCTTCGGAGCAGTAGGCCTACTGATACCTTAAAAGCAACCACTTCTGCCTAAAATATACTATAAAGTTCCGAAAGCCTAAAGCTCTGCTTGATGAAAAGCTCCTTAGAGGTATAGGTGTGATCTAGTAGTTATAATGCTAGAATATCGTAACATAGCTAAAGCTTAAGTTTCATGCTGACCTCACTGAACAAAAATAATAAATCGGAGATCTTATTAACATAAAGTAAAGAACTCCAATTGACCGTTATCTCATGTACGCGACGCCATTTTCTTTCACAAGTGTCCACTCGAAAAGCAATTCTTACTATTTCAATGACTTTTCCGCCCACAAAAGAAATTCACAAACACAAGTAAACATATTTACATACACCTTTGCTTGTATATGAATGCAGAAGTGCAGAAGTGCAAAAGCAATTGCCATAAATGCTCTCAATTAAGTGAAATTCATTTGAATCCTTGTTTATCTTCCATTTCAGTGGGCACAAAGTACCAATCAAACCTGAATGAGATTGGTAAATCCGAACAAAAGCTAACCGGTGAGAATCCAAAAGGCTATGACTGGTCAAAGGATAAAAGTGCGGCAGCAAGAATGCAATTGTGGCTGCCACATGCATGTTGCAACAGCAATAAGCTAACGTACACACCACGAATATGTTGCAATTATGCAATGCTAATTGCATTGGTCGGCATGCTGCTGACGATATGGCTGCAGACGGCAATGATCAAAACAACAACAACAAAAATGACGGCAACAACAAAAGCAGCAGTAGCTACCACTATGGATGTAGCAAGTGCAACTGCTGCCGACAGTGCAACGAACATGAAAGCTGTAAGCGCATCAACAACAGCAACAGCATCCACAAAAACGACAGCAACAGCAACAGCAACAGTGGTATTAAGTGCAGCAGATTGCAAAACAATACGAAAAGAGTTCACCACAAATGAGCGTGCACTCATGCACACACCACTACACATGCACAATGATATGCGTAGCATAAGCATAGCCTATAAGCAGGCGTAAGAACTTATTTTTCGATTGCATGCGGCGAAAAATCAAATTTCTGTATTAACACTAGCAAACAAACAAAAAAAAAGCACTAACAGCACACACACACACATACACACGTATGCATTCATCACCCTATCAGTTTTCAGTATCAGCTTTACTTATAAATTTCACTGCTTATTGGCGTATTTGCATGAATGAAACTCAAAAGGGAAGTGCAAAGTTTTTGTGCTGTGTAAGTAGAAACATATTTTTGGTTTATTTTTATTTTTTATAATATTCCTAAATTATTTTATTATATGCATTTATTTGTATTTATTGTCTGATTATTTTAACATTTATTTTTTTATTTTTTATTTCAATTTTTTCTGTGCCCTTTTTATTGCTTTACTGCATTATTTCAAATGTCCCTCATTATTTTCTTTTACTTTTATGTCTTGTGACCACACAATACTCAAAAATTAACTCTCTAACATTTACTCTCCTCTTCAGTCTCCACATTTTTTTTTCATTTTCACCGCTTCTTTTATTTTGAGTTCTTAACCGCTGCTAACACGAAATATCGCTAAAAAAAAACGTAAATCATAATAAGACACCACTCACAGCAACAACTTTCAATGCCAAAAGACATATGTGCCAATTGTTTCAAATAACAAAAACAACAACATAAACGAATTATGCTAAAGAAGAATGTGTAAATAGTATACAAGTACGAGTATATCCAATATATTATATTATATGTTTATGTAATATACTAAACCTTTAAAAAAGATACTACATATTAATAAATATAAATAATAAATAATAAATTAATATAAACATATATATAAATAAATAAATAAACAAACAAACAAAAAAGCTTAAATTTATAATGTAAAAAATACAAATTATTATGTATTAATGCACACGCATGCGTATAGAAATCTTAGCTTAAGCAGCAACCGAAGCATTACAGCATAAAAAATGCTTGAAAGTAGCTAACACACGCATATACAACAACAAAAATGAAAGATCAAATTCAAGAGTTGTTAGACTTGTGTTTTCTGCTTTATCCTGAAAATCTTGAAATTAAGTAGGTTAATACAATTTCAGTTTAATTCCAAAGAATTTTTTAAGAGGCACACCGCGCAAGACGGTCTACAAAAACCGTTTTTTGAAAAATAAAAAATACTGCATAAATTGTTTTAAAATTTTAAGGGTATACAATATACGTTTTTTATTAAAAAAAAAAAAATATTATTTAAAAAAAAATTTATTTTTTTAAGAAAAAAATTTATATTTTCCGAGTACTCGAGATCTCGATATCTCCGACGGCGCTAAGAAAAATTGCCTGCACTACTACAATAATTCTAGCCTTCTCCGTGCATGCAACTTATACAAAAATTTTCGACTAGAAGATATTCTTCGTACAGTGATTTAAGAACAAAAACAAAAGTGGACAAAATTGTAGCAATTTTTAAAAAAATTTTAATTTTGCCTAACATTTTGGTGGTTTTAGGTTAACCAAAATTCCATTTTTAATCAGATCAAAAATTGCTAGAACATTGTGTGAAGAACTATATTCAAGTATGTACGTTTATATAGAACAAGCAGACAATTTTTATAGTTACTGTTTATAACATATATATCTGAGTAATCACTTAAGCAAATTTGAAAGATGTATGACTGAAACGCGCGGCTTCATTTTAAAAAGCTGTAACTCAAAAACTATTTAAGATATTATTTAAAATTTCAGTATGTTATTTTTAAAAGTATAAACTATCAAAATTTGAAAAATAATCGATTTTTTTATTTTCACACCAGGTTTGCCCCTTAATAGAACTTGCGCGATTGCTCTGCTATTAACAGATTAAAGATTGTGCTCACTATCTTCTCAAATTATCACTATTTACTCTTTTAAAATTCAGTATTTTTTCACGTTTCTTATATGCTCTGTGTTAAGACGAAATTCGTCTATGATTTGTCTTCGTTTCTTTACACTGGGAGCGGGAGAAATCTATTTATGAATTGTGTATTAAGTTCAAAGTCTTACCTACAGATTACTCTACGCCTTGGCGCGTCGATGCTATTGATAGATATCTTTCTCAAATCATCTACATGAGCATACAAAAGCCCTAACAAGTAAATAGCTACATTTTGGATGAATTTTAATGGATAAGTTTCAATTACTATTAGATCATTTCAAAGAAAATTTTATTTTGTACTCTAGCTCAACTTTTTGCCTTCAGCTCTCTTTTTTTAATCCAGTTGAGCCATTCAAGTTTCTTTACAGTTTTTAGCAGAATTTCATCAAAAGCAATTGCTGTGATTTTAACCAGAAATATTTTTTTTTTTTTTAGTTTTCATAAGACTGGTGATGTTTGCATTTTCAGTGGGTAAATTCCCATGAGCTATGAAAGTGCAACTCCTCTACTACCGTAGACGTAATTTGTCTGCTTACGATTTCCAAAAACCATACACAGACTTTTCTGAAAGCACCTTGCTACTGTTAAGACTAAGCTACTAAGAGTGGTCGTGGAATCAGAGTAGGTCAAGATTTCCGCATGTTTCTCGGGCAATGGATTATTTTTTTTTTTCATAGTGATGTAAGACACTCTTTCTGTTGTGGTTAGTATCGAACTGCCGCTTCGAATTTGTTGAATTTAGATATTCACTGGGGGAAAAGTTCATCATATTCTTTGTGAGAGATTCGTTTAGTTTATGAATCATAAGTTCAGTTTACTGCCGCTTAATCATCGAAGTTGTAGATCCTGTTGAAAATCCAACGCAATTAACTTTCGGGTTCGTTCATACAATGGTAGTCAAGCTAATACAATTTCGGTTTTTTAAGGTATAAATTTGTTTCTGCCAACCACAACTAACCACTTCATATCTGAAAAGTCATAAGTATACCTAATTTACTTTTCTATTCATATCAACTGGGTATTTTGAAAATATGTCACAGCCCTTGAGTTTTTTTCGTTTTACACTCTAAATATACACACATCTGCAGCAACAACATAAATACAACAACTAATAATTCTTTCTGAAAGTACGAAGCCTTGAGCGTCGCATACAAGTAATTCATGCATGGTTGTGCGTGTGAAGTGAATATTTTGCTTTTTGCATGAAGCGGTAAAAATAAAATAGTCATAAAAATCAAAAAAAACTAATAATAATAATAAAATAGAAACTTAAAAATAATTAATAAAACTAACTAAAATATGATAATAAAAAATAGTTGACTAAATTGTTGAAGAATTATATTCAAAACTAAAAAAAAAGTTAGAATAATAATATAAATAATATAATATATAAGATTAGATATTATAACATCAAAAAAAATAAACAAAAAATAAAAAAATTAAATAAAAGTTAATACCTGGAAGCTAAATGAAACTAAAAAAATATGCATGCTTAAGAGTAAGCAAACTAAACATGCGCAGACTCGGATAGCAACCACTTGCATATACATACATACATATATATTGCAGAGAGTACTACTGGATATATAATTACAAATAGCGGTTACTAAAAGTTAAACAAAAAAGAAATATGTTTATTGCAATTAGAGTAGTAAGCTATGCTAGTAAGTACACACACACACACATAATTACACAAATGTGTGCCAATATGAAATAGAGACGCTTATAAGAACAGATCATATAGACGCATACATACATTCAGATGTATAAATATATAAAATAATTGCATGAATTATTAAAAATAAATAAAAAGTTATAAAAAAATGAAATTTGAAATAAAAACTTTAAAAACCAATGAAAAATGCATTAGTGTGTGTTAATGGCAATCAAACATGCTTTATCTGCACTGTGGAGACTGAAAGCGTGTAGCAAGAAGTAAGTCACTTGGTGGATAACCTTACTTGTTTATAATGCGCTCCCTAGCGCTTACTCTGGTGTGAACTACATCTATTAGATACTATCAGTGCCTTCTTAATTTGGTAAGTAATTGCTCCTAAGACTTTTAACCCGCAGTATTCTCATAACTTTTAGCGACATTAAAAGTATCCTTAACTCAGAACACGCGTAAAGTCACATATTTAGTCGCGAAACTTCCAAGTAATTAACTTTTCTAACTTGCATTGAGACACTACAAATTTAATTGAGGTTAACTCGTCTCCACCAAACATTGACCGCAGAGGCATAAATATTCCAGCGGTCTCTTTGTAGGAGAAACCGTGTACAAATAAGCAGCGGGACGCAGTTAAAGGTCAATTTTACTGACGATCAAAGCACATTAATTTTGTATGCACAAGACAAATTGAAATACAAATTAAAACGAGTAAAGATTTCCACACCTGCACACCCGCTCGCCTCATCACCCGCGCAGCAGTACTTATTTGCGAGCAAGCCACGTCACCTCTGCCAGCGCAATAATTCTTCTATGCTACTATTCAGCCACTCAACGAAGGTCACAGCTTGCCCGCCAGCTAATAAATACTCTGCGAAATAGCAAATGAGTTTAGCACGTTGGAAATTTACACACACCTACACACACATATGCAGGTTTGTGTTTGTGCGCTTGTTTACCCATTTGCAAAGGTAAAATTTTAGTGGCGCCACAGCTTGCTGCTGCTGCCGTTGCTGTTACTGTGCTTGGAGCAGATAAGTTCATTAGGAAAATAATGCAAAACGAACTTGTCGATTGGGTGAGTGGAGAACAGTAGTTGACAGTGTCACTGGTTGTTGTTGGTGCACATTAATTACGGCCACATAGTTGGCCATGTCAAGGATGCAAAGTCAGCTGTAATATTGTCAGCATCACTCCATATAATTGTAAAGTATATGTATGTATTCAAAGAGTTCATCGTAGTATGTGTGAAATAACCTTTAATTGCTTAAAACACTTGAACACGTTTCATGTAGAATTTAAATGCTGCTGACATTGTTTCCTTTTACAGTGTAATAAGGTTTTTCAATCTGGTGATGTTATATTATATGTGATGTGACATCTTATGCTGCTGGCATCGTTTTGTATTGATTAAGCGCTTTCCAAACTAATAGTGTGATATAATATCGTCATATTCAAACTGACGATGTGATATAATACTGTAAGATAACATGAGAATTTTGTTTATAATTTATTTTATTAATTTTTTTATATTAATGTCGACTAAAATATTGATTAACAATATATTGCAAAGGAGATCATAAAAGGTGTATATAAGAAACACAAATTATATCGCATGATATCCTGTTTGCAGCTTTGATTTTTGTAGGTTACATCTTTTGATTTATATACTATAAATAATAAAATCACTTCGTGGAGCTCGAAGTTAGAAGAAACTGTAGATAATGTGATATCAAATCATCACAGAGTTTATCGTTTCGTGTAGATCATGTAATTATATTGGCGCAATAAGTTATATCATATGATGACATCTGATATCGAGAATCATTTGATCATTCGATGATCATTAAGAATCATAAAATCACATATCAGCAAATTATATTAATAAAATCAAATCACACCATCATATCAAAAGATATTATATCACATCACAGCATATTATCGTAGAAGAACACATAAACTTCTTTGTTATTCAATGAGTCACATCATATCAAATCGTAAAAGTCATATAAGATCCCACATCACATTACCATTGTGCTTAAATCGCTTCATATATTGAAAAATAAAGCAATTTCATTTAATTTGGTGCTCACTAAATTACGTCATATAAAATCACACATCACATCGCATTGTAGAAATCGCATCAGTGGTAGTTTCAATCAATTTAAAAACTATAAAAATCATAGCGCTCTTCTGAAGACATCCGTTCACACATTTGCAAATCGTGCAACAAATACGGTTAGTGAATGGGTTGTAAAAAACTTATATGCTACTTGAGTGGTTAGTGCAGTTCATAGAGGTAGTTTCCTAGCAACTTTATGAGTGAAAGCAACTTTATGAGGAATGTATCCACTTGTAACTTTGGCCCTTCAACCTCTTCTGCGCATATTCATAAAAATAACAATTCGTCATACATATACTTACCATATGTGATATGTGTTTGTGTGTGAGCCGTAAATTGCGGTGCAAAGGTATGCACCAGTTGTCAATTGTGCACTTTTTCTTCGCACTATGCAAAGAAAAATCGATTTTATGATGCCGCTGGTTTATGGCCAATATGCGCACCACACACTCATACACTCTTACATATGCAATAGCAATTCCCTTCGCAATTTTATGCAAATATTTGCACAAACTTATTCTGCAGAATCATTGCTTTGTGTGATTGTCTGGCTTGTGAAGCTATTTGCAGTTTATTTGCTTGATTGTGATTTGTGGAGGAAATCAACGTAACCGTTACATGACAAGAGTCTTGGCGTTTCCTCGCACGTGAGAGTAGTGAATGCTTCATGGGAGCGGGTAAAAAAAAACAAATGTGAAGATAAAGGGAGGTAGGTTGGTAGCTAAAAGTGTAAGAAAATATAAGCTGGTCACAAGAAATACACTAGGAAGTGAGAAATCTGTTAGAAAGTAAAGAATACCACATTACACCTAATTAATTCATTTAGCATTGAAATTTGCACTTCTCAACTCGTTTATGGTATTATTTAAATATATATAAGTGCGCGAGTCCAAAACAAGAATTCATATTTGTGTAATGAAATTCCATGTCCTTCGATAGAGTATTTTAATATTCTCCATCTTTTTCTTCATAATTAAGATTTCATCTCAGACTCTGCAGAGACCTGTATCTGTAGATTCTCTATAGTTTTCACCAAACTTGTGATTCTTCCTCAGACACTGCAGATTCGTGTATTTTTAACTTATTTATTTATTTACTAGTTGGGCCTAATGCATAGCTTAAACCTTCACCTTAAGTTAAGAGCATCCAAAATTGTTTGGTAGAAGGTAAAATTGGCTATTTCTGACGCATTGGCGATGAAATGAGATAATTACAATACAATACAGTTTTTACGGGTTTAATATTATATATACTACAACTTGAAAAGTTACAAACAGGAAAATACCGATTTAAAATCCTCTATCAAATATGCGAGTAAATGGCCTAGAATAGTTTAAAATAAATACTTAATTACTATGTAATGTAAAATTTTAATATATAATATACATATCTCAAATAGTATATAATATAACAGTATAGTCTTTCAAAAGCATATGTATGTCTCCACCTTTTTCGATACATATTTTTTTACTTGCAAGCAAACTTTTACGCTGAACACAAATTTTGTTTCTCTTTTGGGTATTATGATTACCTACGCCTTTTTCTTCAAACTCTCCAAATATTCTCCCAGATATGACTGCACATGAGGCTTCTGTATGGTGCTCAGAAATATTTCCAAATCATGTTGACGATTATCTTCGAAGTTCTTTAAATCGTGCGTCCGAAACTGTTGTTTGGTGATCGCACGCGCCGTCAGCGAATGCTTGGGATAGCTGCTGATGAAAGCTATAGCTCTTTGCAGCCCTTGCTCTTTGCTAGCTGCCAACTCATCAACTAGACCGGCCTTCAGTGCGCCGTCACTACTATAGATACGACTAGCTGTTAGATCCCATTCACCAACGCGCCTGTTGGATATAACATTGAGGTAGGTGTCTATCAACCACATCGGCACCGCTAGTCCCACCATAGTTTCGTTGATGCCGATCTTAAAATTTGGCAGCATAATACGATATTCGCTACTCAGCGCTAGCATGCAACCGCCCGCTATCGTGTGACCGTTAATTAGCGCTACAGTGATGAGCGGCGAAGAGTAGAGCGTGTGCCAGAGATTTTGCAAAGCAACCCAAATGCCCTGCAAATGCAACGTCTCTGTTTTGTAGCATTCTTTCAGATCGAGACCAGCGCAGAAAATGCGCTCCAACGACGAAGTGAGTATGAGGCCCCGACATTTCGATTGCTCTAACTCTTTAATGGAGCGCGCTATTTCGCCCATGAAAGCGGCGTTGAGCGCATTCGCTGGCGGTCGATTGAGTGTGAGTGTGGCGATGCCGGTCTTATCGTCCACGCTCAGTGTGGTGAATTGTGGTGAGGACGCGGTGCCGGTGCTGCTGGCGTAGTTGCGAGCGAGAGCGCTTGTTTTCACAAGACTGCGGAGGCCGTGTTTTGGCAAATGCATAATGCGTGTGGCCATTTCGTGTGAATTTACTGTTCGGCGAATGAAATGAAATTTTTTTGATTTAATAGTATTATTTATATTAGTAATATTTTAACTAGCCACTTACTACGTTCACTGTATACAAATATTTTCAATATAAGCGTTATTTCTCCACGGCCGTGCTACTTCCACAACTTAGCGCTGCCTGTGAGTGACCAAGCGTTTGTCGTGTGAAGCGAATAAGAGACAGAATATGAGCGAATTTCACCATAGGCGCAGCTGTTTCTATATTTTCTGCTTTGTTATTTTGTTTAAAGTTTCCTTTGCTTATTTTCGGCTTGTTTTGTGCGTGTGTGTGTGTGTGTGTACATACATATCAAATTATATTTTCCTAAACCGTGGCGTAAAATAAACTAAAAAGTCTAAAAAAAAATTTTTTTTTATTAATTGTTTTATTCATTTATTTTGTAAATACTAAAATAAACTCGTACAAGTTTCATATATTTTACATATCTGTACTAGTACAAATATATATTTTATCACTCTTAATTTCAATGGCTGTAAAATATTGTTTTTTTATAGAATATTTTAGCAAACATGTAAGTTTAACAATTTTCCAATTGTTCACATTTTTTATTTAATTAAACATAACTTAAAATATTTTAGATTAATTTTAAGTAAAAAATTTGTCTTTCTTTCAAGAATTTGTTTTTTTTTTTGTGGAGAGGCAATTTATTCAATAAATAAATATAAATAATATAATTTTACAAAATTTAATGTAAAAAGTATAGGCGATTCATTTTGAAAAAGTTTGTATCCACTAATCTTATAGTCGATCTCCAGGAGAACCTCCGAAAAGAAATATCTGGCGATGAGGAACATCTTTCTGCTTAAAATTATCCCAAATCCAGAATTCATAAAGTAATTATTATAACAGCAATAGATGAATACAGGTAGTAACTGAAAAACAAGTCAAAAGTTTGAGAAAATGTCGGCGGCTCTAAAAAAATATTTATTTGCGAAAAAAAGTTTACATTTCGAAGTATCTTAAAAAATCGATAAACACCTGAAAAGTATAAGTTTGTTTCAAGTCGATCCGTCCAGCAGTTTTGGAGCTATTTTCCTCACCGAATTTGAAAACAGCGTTTCGAGAAAAACGCGTTTCAAATTTTGGGAGTTGATTGCACAATAATAAATTTTTTTTACAAATACGCTCATATTTTGAAACTATTTGGCGGAGCAACTTCGGACAATATTCTCAAATACATATATGCTCATTAGATATATTTGATAAAAATATAGCTTTTTTGAAATTCATAAGTGGTGGTATATCCACCAAATTCAGATTTTAATCTATTTTTATAAGATTTCGACATTCCATAATTCCACTAATAAAACAAAGAAACCATATGTCACACTTTCAAAAAACTAATATTACTAAAATGCGCTGGGAATACCCCTTGTTTATTAACATATAATATTACTTCATATTTGTTTATTTCGACGATCGCTTATAAAAATAACACTATAATTATTTTTAAAGCATACTTTTTGGCGCGGAACTTTAGTTTGTCCAACACTGTATTTGCAACATTAAAACGAAGCGAATATAAAGCTATGGTATAATTAGAAAAAAGATGTATCATAAATATTTGCTGACAACGTCTCGGGGGGTTTGTTTTGAATTATAAAGCGATTATTTTTTAATGTTTTTGGAAGTGACTGATGTGCAAAGTCTAATAATGTTGTTCGCAGTTAAAATGTACTTAGATTTATTCTATATTATTTATATATACACAATATACAATTTTGTATGATCAAAATATTATTGGTTGAACGGGAATTATTTATAGTCAATTTAATGGAAAATTAATATTATAATATAATAATGTAGGGAAGCGTACACTGCGCTAACATGTCGGCTGATGCATTCGGAGTTATGTTGCGATTCTTTCTTATGTGGAGAAATTCTTCGTTTGGCGTTACAAAAAAAAGGTTTTGATAACCCCTTATTTGTTTGCTGAAAAGAATTATAGCAAGCAAGTAAATTACGAATCGCAGACAGCTAATTGTAATTTTGAAGAATGCATCTATTGGTTACTGGCAAGATTTTCGATGAAGAAGAGAGGTTTCTCATAAGAACTTTCAAGGAGTTCGGATGTGGCTTTTAAAAAATAAAATAGTGCAAAAACCTTTCTTCCTGGATTTCTTGCAATTTTTTAAGCGAAATATGCTTTATTGCTTTATGTAAGGCATATATTGGAATTGGCTTATATATGTATTCTTATATCTTCTGTTTTAATTGGTTCTATCAAATGCATAAACTTTTAATTTCTATTTTATTCGTTCTTAATTGTGATTTAAGTTTCGAATCAAGTGGTCTTCATTCCAGAAATTATGACTTTAGAAGCACAGCTAGTAAAAATTTTTAAAAAATAATTTTTTTTTATTTATTTTACATTTTTTCGATAATTTATACCTTCAAAACCACAGTATTAAAATTTTAAACGAAATTTTCAAATATTTTCTTAGTTAGAGGCTTCCAAAGTATAGTCGCTCGGTTCAATCAGCTTTATTACAATACAATACTTTATATTTAAACGCATTTTTCTCGAAACAGCGTTTTTCTTATTATCTGCGTTGGTAATAATCAAATTATTTCTGAATTATCTGTAAGTACACATATATTTCTTCATACAATGTTCCACCAATCGCTGACAAAAATCGAATTGTGGCTAGTCAAAATCAAACAAAAATTTGAAAAAAAATTAAAACTTTTAAAAAACACCGCTAGGATCTTCTTTTTGGCGCTGTTGAAGACCATTTGTAATTCCATACTTAATTTTTTGTTTTCAAAATTTTATGGTGTATTCTTAAAGTATTTATAAATATACACTTAAAATTTCAAAAAACTAGTGATACAGTAGTTTTTGTTTTTTTACTGCCAACAAATCATCTTTTTTAGGTGCTCACACTAATTTAATTTCATTAAATTTAATTAATAATATTAATAGAATTCAAATAAAATATTATGAAAGCAAATGCTAAATTCCTCCTACAACTCATTTATTTCCACTTATGCCCGTAATTTCTATCTCCACACATCTCGTTTAATGACACACTTGTCTCATACTCTACATACGAGTACAACTCTGAGATAAGCAAATTTATTTCATGACAACAATTCGTACACCTTAATTATGTTGATTTAAAAATATTCCACACTCCACCAATTTGCTTGTGTCAATTCAAGTATTGCACATATATACACACACAAACAAGTGTACATATTTCAAACCGTTTGTGGGTGAAATAAATCCCATGATGATTAAAAAAAAGTTGAGGAAACACCCCGAAATGTGATTAAAATACAAATAAAAAATCAAAAAGTAAATAAAACGCGACCGAAAAAGCATTCGCTCAAGCACATATGTACGCCGTTACATACATACTGACATACATATACAAGTATGTGGGTGTGTGTTTGTGTTGTATATCGTCTGAGACTTCACCATCATGTGAAGCTTCTAGCCCAGCCGGAGTGCGATGTCACTCTTCAATTATATTGCATCATTCGAAGTTCATTCAAACACATGAAAAAACATGAAAATATACTAATCAGCAATGTTTGTTTTGTTTTTGTTTTTGGTTTCTTTTTGCGCTTTCTTTGCTGATTGGCAAACTCACTTGTGAAACCAGAAGCGCAAATAAGCAATTGAATGAAAAGTTTAGATAAAGCAAAAGTATATACCCTTTACGATGGGAATTGCTTTGTATATTTTTCGGACACAAGCGAGCTGGTGTACCCGTATTTCTAATTAATAAAACGTTAGGTATTTTAATTTTAAATTAAATTAAATATTTTAATTTTCATTAATTTCTTGTTTTAATAATTTATTATTTTTATTGTTTGTGTATTTTATTTGTTTATTTATTTTTATCTTTTACAAATATTTTTTCACCAACTTTGGTGTAAATCAACCCCTCTTGATGTAAATAACGGGAATTTTAAAAATTAAAATTTTGCCGTTTGGAGCGTCTAATTGTCAAACAATTTTTTTATTACTTGTATGTTGATATACATGGCCCTGAACTACTATAGAATCAGCTGTATTCATTGTTTCTTTGTCTGTAGCAGCCGCTGTGGTTAGACGTGGTTTTATAAGTTTGTCGAATTGCATTTGCTAAAAGCTTACACTTCGCTGCTTGTTCTTGAATTCTTGACCAAAAACAATACCGTAACGACGCCTCAATCTTCATATTCACCGGACATGGCGCCGTGTGACTTCTTCCAAAAATTTATTTCCAAAAATATAAGTAACACTAAAGGGCGCATGTTTGATAAGTTCGATGAAAATCGTTGAAGAAGCTAAAAGCTTTCCCAAAAATCAAGTTTGAGAAGTGTTGCGACGATTGAAAGCAGCGCTAGCATAAGCGCTTAATACCGAATGGGGACTATTGTAAATTCCTTAATGATTTAATGTAGATAAATGAATAAATATTTTACTCAAAAGATTAAAATTGCCGTTATTTTTTGAACATACCTCACATGCTGTAATTTTTTTCTTGTCAAATTTTATATACATCTTATTTGACTTAATATCGGGAAAGAATTCTTATATTCAAGCAAAAACTCTTAAGTCAAAGTATATGTTTTTCTACTTTCTGATTGGTAAAAATCTATAGTAAGTTTTCTCAGCAAATGCAAAAAAAACATAAAACGATTCAACTTGCTTATTTACAGCTGCTATTCCGAATTAGTATTATTATTATTTTTTCACTTTTTAACAGTTTAATGCCTCCAGTCCAAATCTAATGATCAAGATTTTTAATAGGTTTTTAATAAAATAAATTTTCTAGGGCATTTTATATAAACAATATGTACAACGTGTACATACATACATACATACGATACATACGTATTGTATATGGTAAATAAATACAATACTTATGCTCAACCGTAAATGTGACACCCGTTCACTCTGCACAGAGCATTCACCCGAGAAATTACACACATCTATATATTTTCACATATGCTTGCAAAATCATAGTCTCTTAAGCATAAGTATAGTACTTATATATATATATATATATATGTATGTATATGAATGAATTGAAACTCTAACCTCAGCCGCCGACGCTGCGGTGTCGGCTATTATACGCTTCTGGATTTTTGTATTTAGTTGACTTTGAATTTGCGGTTTAAAATTTCGGGCACCTGAAAAAAACAACAAACAAATAAAAAA